GCACTTTTGATCAATTACTTACGTCACGTATCAGTAAAATCTCGTGTGAATAAGGTCACGTGTTTGTAAACCGTAACTCTCGCGAGATCACGTTGTGAAGTGATTGGTCATTAATTATCCTGATGAAGGCGACAGTGGTCGCTGAAAATTTGATCTCTGTAAACTGTGTGTTGGAATAAATTTTAACCGTTTACTATGATTACTACCAACACAGATGAACTTTCATGAGAATATATATTATATTGCTTATGAATCTAATGTTGTAATTCTTCAAACGCCGCCCTGACTCTAAGCCTGCCACAAAGATGAGCTAAAACTCACAAAAGGTAGCCTTATCCCTAGTGCATACATCTCTGGTGTTTTATTGCTAAATGGTCTCAATACATCAATCCACGCGTCCTTAGGTGTCCTCACAAACTATACCGTAGGAATGAGTCATCGCAAACTATATATAAGGCAATAACGTGCTCTTCAGAGGAAGATTGAAGAAGAACGTGCTCTTACAGCCCCTTTCATGCAAGACATGAACACGAACAGTTACCTGACAACGGTATCAAATGACACATTCACGTACGTGACATATACATGAATTACATTTTGGAGGTATCATCATTTGTTTGAATCTTTTTTTTTTTATTCATGAAATGCTCAAGTCGTCCTGCATACTAGGCCGGTCTGTATTGAATTCATGAGTTAGGTAGGAGGTAAGGGTTAAGCAAAATATATAAAAATACAGTTCAAGCAATTACCTCCAAGAACATATTTAAATACACAATTACTTGTGACAGGTACTGCATGTTATACATATATTGGGATATATATGAAAGACTGTATAAATATTAGAAATTCCTCTGATGATTGTAAATGATCATATCTATCCCATACTAGCCAAGCACTCTTGTATTAGTAAGGTTAGCCTTGTGAACATGAAGTTAATATATGTACTAGTAGATGTCATACATTTTACCCTGTTCAATTGTTGTGCAATAGATTTATCTCTTTATGAGATCTAAGATCTGTTTACTTCCAAAAATTATACGATACATGCCTTTCTAGAATACTAAAAAAGTAATGCATAGCTTAACGAAAAGAGAACGGTTTGGTGATGGACTGCGTGTTTTCATCAGACATGCTCTGGTAACGTTGTAATAAAACTACAGGTCCAGACAAGATGAAATGTCATATGTTTTATTATTACACAGATTTCTATCAGATAGTTGATCTCCAGGGCTTTGTTCATATAATCTAATGTTCTTTATTTCAAGCAAAATTTGACCTGAGTAGATTGAAATCTCCTGTCAGTGAATCACCGATGCTCGTATGATTCACATTAGAACGTGAATCTTAGTCTTATTGTAATTTTCATGTAGTGTATTTGTACTATTGTTTTTTTAACTCCAGGAAGATTAGCTACATACTTGATTTTGTACCAATGTCTTGTGTGTCGCTAATGGAGTTTAGTAAAGCACATAGTCTAAAAACTCAAACCACCGTATGCCCTGACCCCCAGAGGAAGGGCATGCGAGTAGTATTGGAGGGGAAGAGTGTAGCAGTGGTGACTCGAGAAGAAGAAGTCAAAACTGACCCCAGACGTATATAAATGTGTGCCATTTTGACATTTCTTGTCGGAAAAGAAATCCCTTCTATGAGATTGTTTGTATATGTCTTATAACGTCTCATACGTTTTTATTGAGACTGGAACATTGTTGATTGAGTTATCCTACAAAGTTTAGTCCAGTGAGGTCAAAACTGACCCCAGTATTTTAACCTATTTTTTAACACATGTGAGTCTTTTGTTGTCGTCAATTTGTCTTCCTGGTGATATGTTTGCTTGAGTTTTCTGCTGCCAATTGAATGACCTCAACATGTTGACACAAAAAACTTTTAAAAAATTGTGAAAGCATGGGGAACCATCAAGTAATTAATTCAAAAGTAAACCACTAGCTGACACTAAAACATACAAAAAGACAAAACTGAACTGAAACACGTGAATATTACGACCGTGTCGATGTTTCAGCAAGACCTACCCACCTATTAAATTCCATGACAATCTCTCATTAGCTTCTTGACTTATGGTGCTAAACCACATACAAACGCTACCAAAGCACAACCTTCTTGGCGAATGTAAAATTAGTATTCACAGCCGGTATCTGTGGTCTCTGATTCCCTTGACCAGTCATCAGTGTTGTTCACAGAGGTCGAACATATGGTGTACATGATAACAAGCTTGACTAAGCATGTTCCAACGACTGCACCAATTCCCCATGTTCGGCATTACCAAAGACCCTTGATGCAGAGGCTAAGCAAGTCACCATTGCTGATTTATTAAAGCTTAGTTTCTCGGAACGCTACGTGTGGATGCACTCTTAGCATACCAATGACAGCCAAGGTCATGAAACGAGGTCGTTGATGTTATATATAGTTTGTAGTCGTGCCAATCGACCTTTGGACATGTTTTCAGAATGAATGATGAGGTTCGAGCTTCTTTTTACTTCTTTAGTGTTATCTATTTTTATACCTTTTGCTTCATTGTGCTTTTGTGTTCTCACATAATCTACAAACGAGAACCGGTTTAGCAAAAACAATTCAAAGCGCTAAGAATGTACGCAGAGAATGGCAGTCAAATGTCATTACTAGGCCTTTAATTATGGGCGTATGATTTGTTATCGAATACAAAAAAAATCCCATATTCTTATAATACCGCATTGCAAAGTGTGCTTGAAGAACTCAAATGTGTTTTTTGTCAAGATAGTGATAAGCATATATAGCCTCCACCGGGTTTGCCTAAAATGGGTTAGGATGGTAGAATTCAGCTAAAATATGGTCTGACTGACTTATTAGGGTTTCATTTCCCTAAACTGTGCGTGAATATGAGCTCTGTGGTGGTCTAACATCACTTGCCGATTTTGTTTCATATTTCGCTAAAATTTTAATGTTTTTGAACCCGCGTTGTCGAGTCTGGTGAAGACTACGACAAACCTGCCATGCGTACCTGCAATGCACTCTCAAGGTTGCTTATATGACAACTAAAAGTCAAAGACCAAATTTCCTTTAAATTTTAATTCTAAAAACCGGGATGTTGTGGCAGTAGAGAAGTTATTCGTACATCAGAGATCATGAATGACATTGAGAACATTAAGAACGACTTTGTACTCACTAATGACTTGGCAGCAGTTCAAAAACCCTGCAGAAAGGTATGACCAGTGAAGCGAAAACATTTGCTGTGGGTTCAGGTGGTTTGGAAAGCCCAATCTTACTTTCTGAAATACCAGTAGGATTTCGTTCCGAGCAATAATATCTTTGAACGATTTCGAGTGCCAAAACGCACTGTCTTTGCAAGCTGTGCATTGTGATCTGAGTTACCTATTCATTAATGCAAAAGTTAAATCATGGTTGGACAAAATATATTTGGTTTTTTACTTCTTCACTTAGTTATGATTGTATTTAACTTCTGTCAATAATTATACATAATTTCTTATCAAGTTGAAGAATAGCAAACGAAGAAGTTTCTCCATCAGATCATTTTATCCAGAAATGCGACTGTATACTTGTGTATCTAAATTCGTTAAGTTTTAGAATCAGGCACGGTTCCGCATATCCAAGAATTTGTAGAATATTGTAGATTTTTGCCTCGGCTCAGACACGGTTCTGGATACTATCCAGAATTCCTGAGCATGGTTTTGAATAAATAACGATTCTTGATACAACATAGACTATATAAACTCAAAATATAGGAAATTTGGTTTGTAAAATTAAAATTCTAACTGAGTTTTAGGTTCTCGGCAAACTATATTCTACAACTACATAACCCAATGTCAAAATCCAATCTAACATGCACCTGCATACAGATCATGAGCGACATATGAATAATTGTGTGATTAAAATCTATTAAGGGAATTTGTGTGTCTAGTCAAGGGGAAAATTATTTTGTGCAAGTTCTATTGAATTGACCTTTTATAATGACAGCTGACAGTTTGTCGACCAATATCTTGGTCCGCAGGCGTGGTGACTTTAAATCTATTTCTGTCCCAGGACGAATAAAAACTACATGTAGTACTGGGTGCAGAGACAACATCACATTTAGTGAACATGTTTTTTTCATTTCAAAATGTGATCGTTCATGGAAAATGTGCAAAATAAAAAGTTTTTTTTTTACATAAAAGTGCCACGATTCAGAAATGTGACATGAATATTATTTTATGTGATTATCTTTTTATTATATAGGTAATATAAATGTAATGCTGTTGAACCACAAAACATTTCACATTATGTCACATATTGTTAGAATTTTGCAGCAAATTCATAAATTTTTCACAATAATGCACCTGGTAGTGCATGCATTGGAGTGATATCCATATTGCACCAGTTTATTTCTCAGAAAACCAATTTTCACCAGTCGTGACCGGAAATACAGATGTTATTTATAGAATTTTCTGGTTCATTGTACCCGAGAAATTCCCCGAGCTCTTTTCGTCATGTACAATAAACAGTGGAACACAGCTTTTATGCTAAAGTCAAATTTCCAAACCGGGACCCGGATGGGCTGTTGGTGTGAACAAAGGTGGACAATTCATATCAATGATATGCACAGATAGCACTCTTGCCATGCACATCACTTTCTGCAGGAAGCTACCACCTCTGCCACCTTTGCAAATCAACAACACACCACTGAATGTAGCGACGAGTCTTAAAATCCTAGGTCTGCACATTCAGAATAACTTGCACTGGGACTCCCAAGTCAAGCAGATGGTAGGAAGAGCTTCAAAGAAACTGTTCCTCCTTAAAAGACTGAGAAGATGCAACCTGTCCCACAAAGACCTGATTTCAATCTACACTGGATATATCAGGCCCATACTGGAATACGCTGTCCCGGTATGGTCATCTGGCCTCACTAAAGCTCAAATAGTGAAGCTTGAACGCGTCCAGAAACGTGCCTGCAGGATCGTGCTCGGTAACGACTACACCGGTTATGCGAACGCCCTTCAGCACCTTGGACTGACATCACTGGTGGACAGAAGGGAGCAGTTGTGCCTGAAGTTTGCGCGGACGCTGATGGAGTCTACATTCAGAGACTGGCTCCCGAGGTCGAGGGGGGAAATATCTGGTCGAAACACTCGCAACAAGCAGAAACTGAACACACCTCTCTGTCGGACCAACAGACTGAAAAACTCTCCCATTCCATACCTTGTAAACCTTCTCAACAAGGGACAGTGAACTCTGAACTGTACTCTGAACAAACTGTCTGAATTTCGAATCTAAAGTTTTCCCTGCACCTATCTTGTTGTCAATCTACGCCTAACTACGAGTTTTTAATTGATCTTTTTATCTTTAAGAGATGTCAATTTGTTTTATATAGAAATTAAGAATTTACTTTTAAAACTGTAAATACCCACAGCTTGTGTATAATAATATAAAACGAGCTCAATGGTTTGTAAATACCAACGCAATTCAGACTTTTGTCTGCCATGTTTGTATTGAAAATAAAGTTTCAAAGTTTCACTCATGATAGAGATGTGTGATAGAAGGGTGACAGGTCACAACGGCTAGAATTGTTAAATCTTGACTTGAATATTAAAATGTACTTTGTCAGGAACACAAGTTTCAAGTTTCTTTATTTTACCAGGGCATCCGTTGAAAAAAAATACATTAAAAATTACATTGATAAAAAATTACACAAGTTGAACACAACAATATACAAATAATGTTACAAACATTTACATGTACAAGACAGTCACAGTATAGGCGCAATTAGTTCATTCATTTGCCAGGTTCAGTCCTACAGTCCTCCACAGTCTGTTTTTAAATGCAAGCTTCTCAAAATTCATTGGCCGGTGTATCGCTTTAGTGACACCAATTTAACCACGAGAAAAACAAACAGCTTGTAGAATAAGAAATGAGCATTTAGTTACTCTTCAGCACACTTAACTGAAAACAATGTGTGAAATAGTGTGCAATGCTTTCAAGTTAAGTAGGGCTTTTAGGCGGTGCATATTTTCCCGTCAGTCTGGTAAATTAGGGTGTTAGCAGCTTGTCATTTGCTTGTCATACACTCAAGTCGAATACTGTACGCCAAAATGTCTGAAAATTTATATGCATTCATGAAACATTTTAGAAAAAAAATGTTGTTTTTTGTTCTTTTTTTACATGGCTAGATAAATATAACTGAAATTTTAATTAATTTCTGAGTAGAAAAAATAGTTGGAAATTACAGAACAAAATTGTAAAAAAGTGAACGAATACGAGATAAGAGACTGAAAATTATGTTTGTAGTCATGTAGCATACAATCAGTAAGGTTCAACATGTAAAGTACTTATACAATTATTTCTTTATTTGCACATGTATACAACACAAATACATAATCAAATAATAACAAATGTACAAATATGCCGAGAATGCCTGAAACCTTTCCACAGCCTTCTCCAAACGATGTAGTAAATATTATATTATACATGTACATAAAATCCGCAGAGGCATTTGATTGAACTCAAGCTTATTATGGGTCTCTGATAATAGCTAACTCCTTTTCGTGTACGTCTAGACCATACAATAGATCACATATTACCTAATATATAAAGTATCCTCAAAAGAATTGACAGAGGCCCTAAACTATTAAGATGCAAACTGATAGACGATGTGAACTGAAGGTTATGTTACTGTAGAAATGGGTTTGGGGACCTTGCCGCCACCAGTGACAGATGCAAGGCGTGAAAAACGAATCAGGTGCGACATTTCAAATTTGTCGGAAAAAAGGTCGAGTTTCAAGCCGTGCCGACCTTTCTAACTGGTGCCGTCTCGTTCCGTTTCGGAAGAGGGATTGCTCAAATTCAATGTCATCGTCTGGTGCAAGATGCGATTGGCCATGCTACAGCTTTTCTTTTGACAATGACATCACTGCAAGCGTTATGTTCCCGTAATTACATTATAACTTTATATTCCCGCTGTATGTTAAGTACTTCAGTTAATTTTTTTATTGACTTTGACATTATTGGGGTCCACATTTAGCATACATGTCAGTAGTTATTCTTCCTGTGGTCCGAAAAAATGAATTCACTGGTTTAAAGCCGGTATAATGAAGTTTCTATGCAAGTAGGATCCTTTTCTACGTGCATTGAAATATATGTGCATCAACATGTTTACAATACATGTATGTACATCGTAACCAAAACGTCGTCCCTTACAGTTCACTGAGTTTTCCACCGTGTGCGCTTTGGGGTACCTATTGCAAGATCCCGACTAAGACTTTTGCTTCAAATAGCTTGACAAGGAGATTAGTGCAACCCTTGATCCGCATCAGTTTGCTAAAGCGAAAGGGCGTTCAACGTGCCAGCAACGTGCACAGCATAATGCATGCCTCACCAAAAAACAAGCAATACGCACTCTTAGAATAACAATTTTGCAAAGTTCTTTTACGAAGTCGTACAATCTTTTATTGCCTTGCTTGTTAGTGCTGATCAGCCCCTCAAACCATGTACTGCGCATAATGTAAATCAACTCCATAGGGTGTCTGCTACAGCACCAGTTGGAATGGAGAGGTCCAGGTCATTGAACTTATGTGGCTAGAGAAGGAGAAAAGAAAGTTTGTTGGAAGTCGTCTCGACCTTGAAAACGTCCGATCACATCTGTCCGGACCTCAGTGACCAGTGGGTGGTGATAATGACCTTGTCATGACCTTGTGTTGGCAAGGTCATGTACTCGGACGTCAGCCGTACCACTCCCCGTCCATTAACCACTACACGACGCCCGGGAAAGGTCACGAGGGTCATCGGTGTCAGGAAAAGTTGTCAGGGGCGTGACAGCTGCTGATGGTCTTGGGGAAGATTTTAGGCTGCTGTCCAAACCTGTTTTAACTGTCGAGTCTCTTATGTCCTCTGAGGACGACGATACTGCAGCTGAAATAGTTTTAGACACCAGACTAATGCATTTTGCACTCACTGTTGTCCTCTTAAATCCTATCTCTCTCTGTCCTTTTTTGTTCATTTTTTTCTTTTCTTTCCTTCTACCATTTTATCTGACACAGAAGACACGAAGTTGTTGAAACTCGGAGACAGTGTTTTTAAAATTATGACTGCGTACTATACACCTGGGCTCGTCAGTTTGCGTTGCGTTTTGTTTATCTGCATGTGTCTTTGTTTATAGACTACCTTGTGGCGTTTTCAATGTAGTTAATAGATTCTTTTTACTTATTTTGGTACTGAAGAAAATATTTCTTTCAAGATGATGATTTAGATAGATATTCAAAGAGCATTTTCACGGTTCCTCTACTTTCCTTGCGAGATGCTGGCCTCAGTCCAGAAGTGAAATTGACAGTTTGCATGGAGACCCCAACCTCTATCAGCAAGCGAGCATGCCACCGGAAATGTCAGTGTACATCTAGCCACTGGATACATATCTTCACAGAGACAACGTCATTCCAGGCATGTTAATCCTAGTGCGGCAACTACTTTGCCCTTACCAGAGAGTAACGTTTTTCCAAGTGCTTCATTTGGGTCGGTTTCTAGCTCCTGGGTGGAAGTTTCAGTCGAAACGAAGCCGATAGATCGGTTTAAGAAACCAGCCTTCATAGTTGAGTTTAGTTTTGTTGTTTTTTACGCGTTAGTGAATTAACGCGTTGAAAATTTGTTAAAATAACTAGCGCGCAGATAATATCTATTTTTCCTGTATCTCTTTCTCTCATACACACAAACACACACACACACACACACACACACATATATATAAAATAACGTTCAACATCAATAGATACTTTAATTCTGTATGGCAGCCCGACTGTCTATTCACTGTCATGTGTAAGGATTTTTGAAACATGGAAATGGCAGAGAGATGGTCAGTTTGAAGTACGAATGGTATCTAGAGGAATAAAAGGCCAAAAGATGCTGAAGATGAGTGTTTTTTACGATCTGTACTTTCCGGGGATTTCTTTGTCTCCGGAAATACGAATTGATGTTTTAATAGCTCTGGGGCAGTCTAAACCCAACGCAATCTTCGGTTATGCATTTTTCGTCAACATCGTTCAGTTGGTCAGCATATATTGTCTCCTCTGTACAATATTTGTATTATCAGAATTTTTGTTTGTGTGTGTGTGTGTGTGTGTGTGTGTGTGTGTGTGTGTGTGTGTGTGAGAAATTTGGCCACATTTTTGGGGTATTGTATTTCTTTATTCTTTGCATGTACGTCTATCTATACCTGGGGTTTCAAGTCACTAGTAAATCCAACTAGATTTATAAAGTTAGATTCATCTTGAAGCTCGGATCAGCAATTTTCTTTCACTTCACTCCTCGTGTGGGTGCTCAAAGTGGTCACTCGAGAGAAAATAAGAGGTCTTTTGCCACCACAGAAAGGCACTTAAAACCCTACAGTCTAATGATCACTGTTCCAACACCGGAGAGCAGTAAAAGTTTATCGATTATTTTAGATGGAAAGGAGACCCTGGATATTATTAAATTATGTTTCCAGATGTTTCAAAAAGAGAGAAGAAATGGCAACTAATAGTAGATGATAGGTAGTATAGAGTATTGTTGTAATATATAGACTCCTAGCACTTAGCATTAGAATTAGAATGTAACGTTCCAGTATGACAACCTGAAAATGTATTGTTTAAACCGAAATTCCTAAATTTTGCCAAAAAAATGCATGTCAGCAACCCTATGCCATGGCAACACAAAATTATTAGGTCACTTATATAAATTGTGTTCTAGTCGCAAGCCATTCAGACGCTATCCAAGATAAAAGTTAGCGCCGACCCCCAAAAGACACCCCACCCCACCCGGTCTTTACATCATTTAGATAGAATTATGAGTCTCACTTTCTTTCAGAGGAACATGGCATTATAGCAAGGTCAAACGAGAACATGTCCAATGACTACGTTGGATTTTCTTGGCACCATATATAGTTACTTTTTTACTGATTTTTACCCGATGTGGCAGCTTAGATCTTAGTGTAGCTTGTTTTATTACTGCGATAATATTAAAGACTGCAAGTTGGCGCTTTTGCGCCGTAGTGAATGCACCATTCACGATACACCAAAAACATGTATATTATCATTACCGCTGTCTTTCGTCGGCTACAGTACAGTTAAACTCCGCTAGAAGACATCTAAAAGAAAGCATCAAGGGCGAGGTCTAGTCAGCAATAGGCCCCTTGTCTGCCTACCTAACAACAATGTCTTCAATCCAATTT